CTGTATGATGGAGATGTGACAAAAAGCATGTTATGCACATCATTCTCCAATTCTGCATTCAGGAATGTCACTTTAGTGGTGTGCAATTTGCTATGGTGGAAATACTTCCACCATAGAAACTGGCAAAAACACAAAGAAGCGCTCAACACATTGTTTTCTTGATTGTCTCCATTCAAGAAAGTGTGGGGAAAATGTTAATAATGCAAATTAAACTTAATGTGAAGTACCCATAGCTGTCACACTGTGGATGGGACCCCAAAATTAAGGAAACTCCCTCCCAGTGTTCAAGACTATGGTCTGATTCAGCCAAGCCATCACTGATTTCATTGTCTGACAGTCAAGTTCTGATATATCTTTTTTTTTTTTTTTTTGGACACTAGGGATTGAACCCAGGGATTTAACCACTAAGCCACATCCCCCAGCCCTTTTCATTTTTCCATTCTGAGACAGGGCTTCACTAAGCTGCTGAGGTGGCCTTGAACTTGCGATCCTCTTGCCTCAGCCTCCCAAACTGCGGGGATTATAGCTATGCACCACAGCACCCAGCAAACTCTGACATATCTTAACTGGCACTTCAGTCTTATTTATATATATATATATTAGTTGTAGATGGACACAATACCTTTTTATTTATTTATTTTTATGTGGTGCTAAGGATTGAACCCAGCACCTCACATGTGCAAGGCAAGTGCTCTACCATTGAGCAACAGCCTCAGCCCCTCAGTCTTACTCTTTAACTTAAAGAGTTGCTAGTTGCAACCACAAGTTGGCTAAGACACAAGAATCAAGCTAACGGGGCTGGGGTTGTGGCTCAGTGGTAGAACGCTCGCCTAGCACGTGCAGGACCCCATAAAAATAAATAAGTGAAATAAAGGCATTGTGTCCAGCTACAACTAAAAAATAAATATTTTTTTAAAAAAAGAGAGAGTCAAGCAAACAATAAAAACATTCTGTGAGAACCGACTGACCACATGGAATTCACTGAGAGTGCTATATATTCTATTATCTGTCGATTAAGTGGTGCACATCCTTTGTAACTGGGAAATTTACAATGAACAACATGTATATAGAAGCACTTTCTTCCAGACAGCCAGGCAACAAACACTTCTCAGGACACCCTGCTCCCAACTCAGCATACTGCACTGAGCTTCTTTCCCATGCAAACTGCTCTTTTCACTCAGTACTTTGACAAAAGCTAGCAGTCACCCCAGTCCCTTTTTCTCTAACCAGGTAAATTCGTCCCTCAGCAGCCCTGGCTGAACAGGCCCAGCTCCCTCAGCCTCCACACACCTGCTCTGCTTGCTCGGGCCGCTGCCTACTCCTGCAGGCACAGGAACCCCACCCTACCCCTCTGCACAACCTGTCAGGGTCCTTCCTTCCTTCCCTGGCTTTCTAACACTTGCCCTCATCAACCCCCTCAACCCCAAACACCCTAGGCCATCTTATACCTATTTACAGTACTGCCCATGAAACACCTTGCAACACCATCACGTCCAGGTTCTTCCTAATAGCGAGCCCTCCAAACACCTGGGCTATCCTGCACCTACATTTGTGTTCCACCACAGAGAGCACCGCCTGCTTACAAAGGACACTTGACAAACATGTCAAATCGACAAATGACATTTTCACTACAAAGGCCTAGAATTGAGGAAGGGCCTCAAGGTGTCTAGTGCTGAGTTTGGCTCCCAGAGAAAGGAAAGTGCGCCAGGCCCCAGACATGCAAACACTCCAAAGGCCACTGAAGGCAGAAACCCACATATGGCCGGCCAGTATAGGAACAAAACAGGCACGGACAAATGCACTCGATTACTGCATGCATTCACCAAAAGTGGCCTTTCAGCTGTCTTAAATGCTCTTACTGAATTCATGTAATTATTCCCCAGAAAGGTGCTTTTAGCTAGTACCTATTTGTATATAGACAGCCATCATTTTCATAAAACAAGCTACCCAGCTTACTAAATTTAAAGCAAGAACTGCTACGAAGGTGAATGAACTACTGGTGAGCGTCTGAATGTAAATTCTGCTCATTACATTTAGTTCTGAGTTGTTCGTTCAAGTGTTGAGTGCCTTGCTTTCAGGCCACGCCAGGACCCAGTAAGACACAGAGGCCGGATTCTCACCAAGTCAAGGAGACAAATGATGTGTAATGTACATCTAAATACAGCTGCTCCGGTGAAGTGCAGATGCACATCTAAGTACAGCAGCACACTGGCGGGTGGTGAGTGTGGCAATACCACCAGAAGGGAATAAGAAGCGGGCAAGAAGGGGCTGCTATGTAACAGGGGGCCCTTCACCCATGCATGGGCCTATGGCAAGGAGAACTTCTAGTGGAAGTGAGGTCTCAGCAGGGAACAGCAGGGGCATAGAGTGCAGAGTAGATGGTGGCACAGAGGAACAGAGGCCACTGGACACTGGGGATTTCATTCTAAGCAAGAAAGTCAGGCAGGGGTATAAACTACTACTATTTGACTAATTTTAAAAAGGACCACACTGGTTGCTATATGGAAAACAGAATGTATAGGGCCAAAGGTAGAAGCAAGAAATCCACAGAAGGGGCTCCTGCACAATCAGGTAAGAATGGAACAGAGAAGGTGGAAGAAGTCCATTCCAGATCTGACCTAAAGCAGCACCAAGGGACAGGATGTGGCCCGTGAAAGCAAGGAAGCCACGGTGAAACTGGCACCGAGGTGGGAAAGGCTGTAGGAAGTATGTGTTCTGGAGGTGGTCTGACAGTGGTGACAATCCTAGGCCTTTGCTTGCTGGGCAATGATTTCTACCATCGTTGGGATCATGACTAAGGAAACCTGTCTTGGAAAGGAATGAAAGCTGCATGAGGAGGACAGGAGATCCCCAAATGCTCATGGCCAGTGACAAGAAAACTCACACCTGCAATTCACTTGCAGTGCTACTCAAAAGTGCTAGCTCAACTCCCAAGAGGCCTCTTCTGCTCATGGCTCAAGTGTCTGCGCATCGCGGGGCCTGGCTTCTAAGTTTCCTTTCTGCAGCTCCCTCATTATAAGGAGAACAGACAGGGCCCCATGCTCCTAACCAATGGCTGAGCCACCTTCTGGCCGCAGGAGGGGTGCTGAGAAGCACAGTGTGGCCAGGGCAGTCAGGAAAGGGAATGTGCATGGTGCTTGCCACACCCCAAGTGTCCACCTCAGGGCAGTCAGGGAAAAGCACTCTGGAGTAGAAATGTTTGGGATTGCTAGACGAGGTCAGAGCCAAAAAGAAACCACGGCACATAACCAACAGACACACTCTCCTCCAAGAGCCCATCAGCTTCAAACTGGTCAAATCCACTTCTGGGGCCCAACAATGTGTAAGAGAAGCAAGGTGGCCTAGTATTTCAATCAGCATCTCCAGCTCCCGAAGACAGGGTCTTAACACCCTCAAAGCAGGCAAGGAGCCTGCAGAACACCTACCGCTGACTCAGGGCTGGGTGACGCAGCGAGTGCTTCAGCCAGGTGTTTCTTATAGCATCCCGGAGCTCACGGTTACTGCGAGCTGACAACACACCCACCACCACATCATAGTGACTGGACTTCCACTGAGGAAAGAAGGCCAGGGAATCTATAAACAATGAGAAACCAGAAATAAGTTATGTCTCAGTTGCTACAAGTTCAGTGTATAACAGGAGCAGTTTATTACAAATAAAATGTCTTTAGGTGTGCAGTAATTACAAAGAAAAACACCTCTTTAATTACCCATAAGCCCCCATTCAAAGGTAAACACTACCTCAGTCTTTTCCATCTTTCTGCACTCATGCAAGCATGGAAGTTTTTCAAAACAGGTAAGATGCTTGTGGTAAGGGAAAAGGCAATATGTCAAACAATAACAGACAACAAGTCAATCAGGCCACAGAATCTTGGCTCTGCCACATTCAGCTGAAAGTTCTTTAACTTATTTTTTTTTAATATTTATTTTTTAGTTGTGGTTGAATACAATACCTCTATTTCACCCATTTATTTTTATGTGGTGCTGAGGATTGAACCAGTGCCTCATGCATGTCAGGTGAGCGTGCCACCACTTGAGCCACATTCCCAGCCCCTTTTAATTTCTTGAGTCTCCGTTTCCTTGACTAAAAATGGGTATAACAACACTTCCCATAAAGCTCTAGTAAAACTTAATGTTTACCAAGGTCCTGGGTTGGCTCCAGACACAGAAGAGACCCTCAACAGCAAATGCCAGAAGAAAAGTGCTTCAACAGGTAAAGTCCTGCATTGATATTAGTTATTAAGTTTGTGGGGTGAAGTCAAAGGACTTTCATACTGCAAAGTATCAGAACCCTTACTTATGTCAATGAAGTCTACCTAGCAAAATTTTCATTATATACAAATTATTCTAAAGAATAAAGGAGCTTGGGATGGGGCTCAGTGGAGAGCACATGCCTAGCATGGGCAAGGCCCGGGGTTCAATCCTCAGCCCTGCAAAAAAAAATAATAATAAAAATTAAAAAAGAGGAGAAACAGTTTTAGTTAAAAAATCATGTAACAAGTCATAAATGGTTCATCTTTTTTTTTTTTATTTATAAACACTTTATTCAGGTCATTATAGTGCGTGAGTTCCCATCTAAATGCACGGATACAAGCGAGGTATTCCTAGGTTAATTCCGGAGCCAGTGGGTTACATGGGACTGCGTATTAAGGCTGAAGGGTGAGCACCAAGGATTCAGAGTCAGACCCAGCTAGGGACCCTGTGCTGAGGGTGTGCAGATGTCTCTAAACCAACAGCTGCTTTCT